TTGTTCGCCCCCGCAATAATAATATTGTAGTGGTTTTGGTAAATGTAAGTTAAGTACTTATCGAATGCTCTTCGACAGATTCGCAACAAATGGTATATTTTTTAAAGATAAATGGATATTATAATGGAAATAATGATCAAATCTTATAAAATAAGATCTCTTTTTAGAAGAACAAACTAGATTAAATTTAAATTAATATCCGATCAAATAATTTTAATATTGCTAAATGCTCTAGAATAAAAATAAAATAAAAATTTTAGAGTTGGCTATAAAAAAATTCATTATCAACTTCGTAGATGGCAATAGCTTCACTAAACAATAGAGAAAATATTCTAATGTTTTAACATAGTGAAACTAAAAATACTAGAAAAATATAAAATCAAAAAAAAGTGCAATTATCTAGGAATATAATGAACAAAAAGAAACTATATAAAATGATATGAGAAAAAATTATATGAAAGAAAAAGAGCTAGTTAAAAGATTTTACAAAAAAAATTAACACCAATAATATTTGCGCCCGAAACCAATGTTAATGTAGTTCTGCTTGTGGATTGTATACCAGATACCATTTAATTGTTGAGCGTTCATTATTAGAGAGCAGTGTCTTCCACAAAGTTACATCAATGCGATCATATCCGATGGTCAAAGCATGAATTTATATACAATTAACCGATTGTCATAACCGAGTATCGATGTACGACGTGATCGTCACGAAATTCTATTTGAAATTGAAGTTAGAAGAAATGAAGAAGTAATGAAGAAGTGTCTTCAATTGAATCCTTCCTGGCTAATTGGAAAGGTTATAATTCTTAGAGCATGCTAATCAATAACATCGCGGGCAGTGCCTATTTCGCAACATGGTTCAAGGGCAAAGAAATTCCACACCTGAGCAGTGACTTGTACATAAAGATCGCATGACAAATAAACAATACAGCGTCCTTTCTAATTCCCCAAACAAAGAGTGGTATTAGCACGTAAAGTCAACTGTGTTATTTGAGAATTCACTCAAGTTACCGGGCCGTATATACCAAACATATAAAAACAGTACTTCAGAAGTATCACTGTCACTCTTTGTTTAGATTAAGCGGTGAGCTGGCCATGGAAACAGGAAAGGATCTTCTCAGAGAATTTTCCCGAAATGTCTGTTTACAATCTTGCGAGCAATAAACGTTCGCAAACAAATAGTAAGCTTTGAGTTGTTATGAAAAATAATTACAAAAATAAAATTAATTAATTTAAATTTATATTCTATTAATAAAAATTAATAATAATTTGGACTCTTCTTTCTAGAATCAAGAAAAATCTGAAACATTTGCAAACTTTTTAATTAGTTATCTTTCAACCATTTTTTAAGAAATTGGAAATGAAGAGAAACAAAAAATTCATGATTATCTAATGAATGTTATATATTTTTCAGAATATCTAATCTATCTGAAAAATAATTCAAATAAAATTAGCACTTAAAACATTCAACTTTGCTTAAAAAAAATTATTAAAAATATCAATAGTAAAAAAATATTAGGATTTAATTAATGGAAAAATATTATAAAAGAATTGTTAAAAAAAATTTCAGATTTTTAATAATTTTATTTAATGCTTAAATTTAAAGTATTTTCCAATTCAATAGAACTTAGCTCAAATAAAATTAATTTAATTAATAAAATTAATTTATGTAGATTATAAGCATATTCCAATTTCTTTGATATTCGAAAAGGTCATTAATACTTATATAAAATCGGATTATAACAGAAAATCATTATTATATTTGAATACTAATTCGGCTATAAATCTAAGTATACAACAACGCAGCAAGTATTCATAATAAAAAAAATTAATCAAACGAAAAAAAAAAAAGAGGAATTGAGGAAAAAGCGTACTGTTCCACAATCTTCATATCATATAAATATTTGATAAAGCACTATTATACAAAATTAAAAAGTTCCTATCCTTCTAAATAAATAGTTAAAATTTTATTTTGATGATCAAAATTTTTTTATGAAATATTATTAAAAAAAGGACATAGATATGTTAGTTCTAAAAGAACGCTTTGAATCCTATACCTTTTATTCTTTATACCGTTGATTATCTAATTTTCAATATTTTAAAAATTTGATAATAAAAGTATCGAAACCAATTTATCTCATAATTGTTATAATATATTTTTTATAATGACATTTATATATGAATATGTGAATCTTAAATGAAAATGATAAAGACTTGGATGTTTACAAATAATGTCTCTGGTTATATTTTAAGGATATTTTTAGGATATTTTCTGAACTTTGTGTGAGCAAATGAGATTGTATCCGATGATCATAGTGTAGATCAAGATTTATACTATACTAGTCATATCCTATAATCAAAATATGATGTCATATCTGACAATCAAAGTACGATGTTAATAATACAAAGCTAAGTCGTAAAAATTTTAAGCTTATGGAATGCTCTTTCGTAGATAATTTGAGAAAACCAATATGACAGATAAATATAATATCAAAGGAATGATATCGCGGATAATCTCTTTTGATAAGCTCAAGTCTAAGAATTTCTCGAACTTGGTTACATAATGATGTTACATATCTTTTCAAAGCCTGATGCTCACATTGTTATAAAATTTATCAAGGGAAGAATAATATTGGGTGAAACATATTATTCAAAATTATTTTGCATTCCAGGTTAAAGTGTTTTAAGAAATATAAAATGTCAAATGTTATTTAAACAATGTTATTTTATTCTTCTTAAAAATCACATTGTCTTTTAGCAATCATTCTAGATTCTTCGTTTAGAACTAATAATCAATATCTGATAATAATTCCATTCGAGAAAATCTTCCTCGAATAAGTAAGTTATATATCTGATGAGTATTTATTTCTACTAAATATTAATTGCAAAAAAGATAAAAAAATACATGGAATACATTTATGACAATAAAAAGGAATAATAAATATATAATATGATTGGCAGCCAAAACAAAATTATTAAAATAATTAAATTTTTAAAATAATATATTCATAATAGAAAATGTGCACTTTTCATACATAATATGAATTTTAAAATATAATAAATTAAAAACATTTATTTTATAGCACTCATAATAACATAAATGAATGGAAAGAAAAATTAATTGAAAATAGCAGGATAGAAATAAAAAATACATAATAGATAATAAATATATTACGAACAGACTATTAATAAATAAAAAAAAATTAAATTTAAATCAAAATAATAACAAAAAGATATAAAAATATATAGATAAAAATATTTTAGATTATTATATAAATATTACATTAAAAAAAAAGAGCTGTTGAAAGAGAAAAAATGATAAATATCATTAATAAAATAATAATATAAAACAATAATATTATTTTCAAAAGTATAGTTTTGATAGTGAAAACTTTTTCTGTTAAAAATATAATATTTTTTATTATTAATTAGAAAATTCATAAAAAAACTTATTTGATAATAATTATAACATATATAATTGTAAAAGAAATCATATTATTAAAAAATAAAAATTATTTTTGAAAAATCAATTTAGTTTAAAATTTTTCAATGGTGAAATCATGATGTTTTACTCTTTGATAATGTCATTAAATTATTATAATAATAAGATTTAAAACAACTTTTTTATTTTTTACATAAATTAAAGAATTATCTATCTTTTTCATCCAACAAATTTTTACTAACATAAAGCAATAATCTATATCTTGATTTAAAATTTTTTTTATTTTCATTTTTTTCATCATTTTTTCTTAATAATTTAAAAAATTTTTTAAGAATTAATTTTTTAAATTTTATCATTTTTTTCTAATAAAAGAAATGAAATGAATAAGATTCATTTGATTTTAATTCTGATTTCTTTCTAATTATTCTGTTTGATAGATAACATATTAAACAATGATAATAACTTATGATCAAGATACTTAAGGAATCACATTTGCGATTATGATATCTAGATATAAACAAGAGATATATATGTTGCATTAAATGCATATAAGAAATCCCATTTTGATCGCAAGATGATCATTTGTACATATTGTACATAGAAATATTACAAACAACTATTCAATTGAATTTCATATTTTTTCAATTGATTGATTTTATTCATAATTGAAATTAAAAATCCTTTATCATTATTCCAAATCATAAAATTAACAAAAATATCACTATTGTAAGATAATATTTTTAATTTATAAACATTCTTTAGTAATCAAACTTTAGTAAATCACTCTAGTAACTAATATTAGAATAAAAAATTCACTTTATTAAATTTCTAAGATTATAATTATGATAACATAAAAAGCGTCACAGATTCGTGGAAAAATTTTCAAATCAACTAGAATTAGATAATTTATAATAATCATTAAATAATATGATAATAATAACTTGATATAAATCTAATAAAAAGAATATATAAGATAAATAATAGATAATTTAATTCGTGAATATAAATAGGAATAGAAATGTAATAAAATGTAATGAAGTATTATTATATATTATTTAGCAAAAATATTATTTGACGTTGTGAATTTTATAGGAAAAATAAACAAAACAAATTGAATTTTTAATGAAGGAATAAAAAAATTTTTCGATTAGCGTTTATAAAATAAATACAAATAATAAACTAATTTAATCTAATTTTATTGGATTAAACTTCGATTTGAAATACTATTTTTTCCTAAATTTTTTTTCATAATCTAATAATTATTATTAGATAATAATTATAAATATAAACAATATATATAGCGATTTTTAATGTCGGAAATTGTTTAAAACTTATACATTGTTAGTATTTACAAGTTTGATCATTTTTGAGCAGTATCTAACTCGATCCTTTCACTTTTTTTTTTAAATTTTAGTTTATATGTTGACATATTACATTGTTAATATGTAACTGCAATCTCATACGTTGAAAAGAAATTAATGCATTAGATTATGTTGATATTTATTATTATAACATAACTATCAATGTTCGCGTTCGCAACCGTAGTATTGTAATGATGATGATGGATGTAAGCTCGATATTTATAGAATGGCCTTCAATAGATGTAATAAGTGGTATATTTCTTAAAGATATACATTGTATAAGTAGTCACATGTGCGGAACGCATATCTAAGCGAAAGAGCAAAGTTTCAATGTCATAGCAGGTAATCATATTCGACAATCAAAACACGATATATTCACAAACTATCTAATTATTGTATTCGGCGATCAGATTACGAAATGATCATCATGAGATTCTCTTTACCAATAGAGCCTTATGCCCTTCCTAGTTCAATTGAGAAAATTTCTTGATGGAGCACGACAATAATCAATAACATCACGGTTAGTACCTCACTCGCGACACCTCCAAGTTAAAGGAAAATTTTTCGAACTAAAATGATACTGATTGCCGTTGAGTCAGCCGTATCTGGAGAATATTATCCTTGGGATCGAACTTCGCTCCAGCCAGGCTGAAGTGTGTCAAAAATATATAATAAGTATCGACTAAATTCTCAAAAACGACAGTCTTTCCAGATAACATCATTCTTTATTTAGATTTAATAGAGATCTGCGAGCGATAAGAAAAGGAATTTCAATAAGGAATTTCTCTGAATAAGCTGTTTATAAATTTCACGAGCAGTAAGTGCTCGCGAACAATCAGAAAGCAATGTTTTGAAAAAATTAACAGTTTCTCGTAAGTATTTAAAATATATGTTATATATTCTTATATTTTCTTTATTTTTTTTTATTTTTTTATGTTTTGATAATATTTTGTAAAGATGGCTTTTTGTTTATTATAAATTAGAATTTGTGTAATTTTTGAAATTCTAGAGATAAAATAACAATTGTTTCGCGTATGGTTTAATATTGCTATAAAAACTGACTTAAATATCAAAGATAATTATATAGAATTCCCCAAAAATATAGATTAAAGATTTTTTAGATTAGATTTTTTAATTTCAAGCAATATCTTTCTTTGTAAAAATTTTTTTTTATAAAGATTATTAATAAAAGGTATTTAACGAATTATTAGTAAAAAACACTGTATAATCACAAAGCGTATAAACTAATCAAGCCATGTCAACAACGATAGCATTAGATATTTATTAACTGATAACATAAAATGATGATTCTAATTCTAAACAACTCTAAGTAACATATGTCAAAGAAATGTTGAATATAAATATTCTTTTATTAAAAAAGAATTATATTTCATTATTACAAACAACTATAAACTAATTAATTGCTATTCGTATAGGATAACTAAATCGAATTTATTCATCAATTAAAACGAATTATGATATAAAAGATATAAAATTATAAAATAAAAAAAATGAATATAAAATTTTTTTATTTAATGAATAAATAATAATATATTTGTAATACAAAAATAAACGATAAATCTGTTGTACCTTTAAACTTTTATTTTTTGAAAATGGAATTAAATTATTCTATGGAGAGATTATATTGTATATATAAATTTATATATTTTATGAAAAAATTAAATAAATGGAGGGGTCTATATTTAAAGTAAAATTTACATACCAAATTTTTAAAATAATTATATAAATAATTTCATATATTTATATATATAACAATTTTATATATATATATAAATACAAATAATAAACGGAAATTTAATCTAATTTTATTGGATTAAACTTCGATTTGAAATACTATTTGAAATACTTATATATATATATAAAATTTAATTATTAATTTTTTAAGAATAAATCTATTTTCGTATTTCCACTTAATACCTTTTTAAAGAAAATACAAAGATGTATTGATTGATAAAGAAAAAGTACAGTTTTATTAAAAGGATATTAAAATAGTTTAAAATAATTTTAATTTTTTATTTAATAAAAAATTTTTTAATTTATTTTAATTTTTTCTTATAGAATAAAAAATTGTAATTTAATTAAGAATTAGATATTTTTTAATATATATTTGAATTATGTCTTTTATAAAATTATATTTTTATTTTAATGAAATTTTTTATCTAATGAATTATTGAATAATAATTCAAAATGAAAAAAATAAATAATAATTGAATATAAAAATATATATAAATTGAAAATTTATATAATTACATATGAATATATAAAAATATGTAAATATATAAATAAATATATAAATATATAAAATTATATATAAAATATGAAAATTTGGTATGAATTGAATATGCTAAATTTTAATTTTATTTTTTAATGTGAATAAAACATATTAAGCAAAAAAACCACTGACTTATGAAGCAGGCATAATTGAATTTCATTTTCGATAATTTCAGTATTTTCAATAGTTATATTGATATTGAAGAAGAGGAAGATGAAGAAGTTATTATTGAACGTAGGAGGAAACAAAGAGAGGAACTTCTAAAGGTATATTGACTTTGTGATTAATTAATTATTTTTATTTAATATTTCAAACTAATAAAAATAAATTTTTATTTTTATTCAGAGGTTAGGTGGTCCAAACGAAGATTCAAATATGTCCGCTGACATTAATATTGTTCCTGCAACTCCACCTTCTGAAAGTCAATCAAATGTATCACAGAAATCAATAGAAGTTCCGTCTAATAATAACGAATCTACTTCAGAAAGTCATACTCCACCATTGCCCGAGAAACCAAAATCACCACAAATTAAGAAAAGAAAATCTAGATTTGAAGATGTTCTACCAGAAGAAATTGATAAAAACGAAGATATAAAACCAACAGAAAAAATTAAACAAGAAGAAAAACAAAATTCGAAAAAATCGAATGAATGGGACATGTTTGCTGAGGCAGATAATATCGGTGATTTTAATGTACGTTTATAATTTCTTTTTTCTTTTTTTCATTTATTTCTTCATATATGATAAACATATTAAACATTAATATTTACAGAGTCCTACAGTTGAAGGAAAACGACAAGGTGGACCAGATAATCCAAGTTTAACAGATAATTGGGATGATGCAGAAGGATACTACCGGTAATTTTTGTAATATATATTTCATAATTTTTAATACATTTTTATATTTATATTTTTGAAAATTTAAAATATTATTTCTTAATTTTAGAGTACGTGTGGGAGAAACATTAGATTCTCGATATGTTGTTTATGGATATACTGGTCAAGGTGTATTTAGTAATGTTGTAAGAGCTAGAGATACTGCTAGAGGCAATTTAGATGTTGCTGTAAAAATAATAAGAAACAATGAAATAATGTAAATAAATTATCATATTTTTTACAATATTAAAAATCTTTAATATATTCATAGTTTTTTTTCTTTTAGGCACAAAACTGGCCTTAAAGAATTAGAAATTCTTCGAAAACTTAATGATGCCGATCCTGAAGATAGATTTCATTGTTTAAGATTATTTAGACATTTCTTTCATAAGAATCATTTATGTATGGTTTTTGAACCTTTAGCCATGAATTTAAGAGAGGTAAATATATACATATATTGTTTATTATGTTACATATTGATTTATTATATATTATCATTCATTATATAAACAAATTTATCGAGGTTTTAAAAAAATATGGAAAAGACGTTGGTTTACATGTTAAAGCGGTAAGATCATATACGCAGCAACTTTTCCTTGCACTCAAATTATTAAAACGTGCAAATATTTTGCATGCTGACATCAAACCAGATAATATTCTAGTCAGTGAAAGCAAGCTAGTACTGAAATTATGCGATTTTGGGTCAGCATCTCATGCTCATGAGAATGAGATAACACCATATTTGGTATCAAGATTTTATCGAGCACCTGAAATTAGTAAGTAATTGATTATTTTTTTTTTTTGGTAATAATTTATATATTTATGTATTTTATTAATCTCTTATTTATAATTTTATATTTTAATTAATTTTTCTAAATTTAAAATTCATATTATAATTCAACAAATTGATTTTTATTTATTAGCTTATTTATTAAACCAGTTTTTAATCATGTTCTTTAAAATATGATATAAACAATTTGAAAATACCATACATCTAGAATCGTATACTAATGGTCAAAATTTCGTATGAATACATTATGTTAATTATTATTACATTATTTTTTGAAACTTTAATAATGTTTCTGTGTGGCAGCTCAAATTGATCAAACCTATATTGGAGAGATCTCCATAAAGATTTAATAACAATTATTATGTGTCATATAATTAACATTGACATTTTCTAGTTCTTGGTATACCATATGATTTCGGCATTGATATGTGGTCTGTGGGATGTACCATATATGAATTATATACGGGAAAAATAATGTTCTCGGGCAAAACAAACAACCAAATGTTGAAATTCTTCATGGACTTGAAAGGCAAAATGCCTAATAAACTGATTAGGAAAGGCTCATTCAAGGATCTACATTTTGACTCTAACTGCAATTTCCTATATCATGAAGTTGATAAAGTCACCGAGCGGGTAAGTCGTCTTTCTACTGTTCTTTCCAATCTTGATGTTTTGCTGTGCGGTAAGTGATTTAATAATAAGATGTATATTAATAAAAAAATATATAAATGATAATACTGTTAATATATAATAAATTTTTAGGAAAAAGTTGTAGTTATGTCTACTTTATCTGCTACTCGTGATCTAAGCGCAGAATTAGGTGGAAATTCTTTGCCACCAGAACAAAGTCGGAAAGTTGGACAGCTTAAGGATCTTTTGGAACGAACATTGATGTTGGATGCAGGAAAAAGAATCACTGTGAATCATGCCCTGGCACATCCATTTATACAAGAAAAAATTTAGGTAACCCTGTCCGGGGTCCATCCACATCGGAGAATTTGACGTAATTTTGCAAAAAGAATGTTTGAAACGACACCGCTAACGATTCGTTGTATATCATAAAAGCATTACTAACATAATGCGGTGTCTATTTATATCGAATGTCCTATATCCGTTTCAGCAGAAAGAGGCGGTGCAAAATTTTACATTTCACTTACTCCATCTGAATAAAACAGGAAAACATATAATGGGAGGAACGAAAAATTATTTGAATCACATATTGTACTCTATCAATCTGAACTGTATTATTTAATTAATGATAACTATTGCAGGTCAATAGAGTGCAATATCTTTATATTAATTAAAAACCACTACATAAAAATGATGCATAAAATATTGGAGTTCGCCATTGATGCATTTATCGACGATTGTAAAAACAACATGTTTGTATTCTACAGTGTACTGTATCAGAGAGCGTAATGATTTTTTCGTGTAAATTTGTTTGAAATGAAAACCACGATTTGGTTTATTTCTTTTCTTTCTTTGTGCACAGCAGTTATAAAGTAATAAATCCAACACGATGAATACTAGAGGAAGAGGCTTGATGAATATATGCGGTATACAATATTCTTCCGTGGACGAAAATGAAAAACTGGGAAAAGTGACCGCCTCTTTCAGCATGAACTGGCCATCGATACTTAGCATAATGGTGGTACATAATATTTTTCTTTTCATCAATTTTTCGAATTTTAAAGCGCGATTTTCTTTACAAATAACAATTCATAATAAATTATTATATTACAAATAAATGATAATGCGTTAATTCGCGAAGAAGAATCCCGTGTTTGCGAAATTGTAAAACCTCTACGAATTTGATCGTATAAATCACGAACATTTTATTCTTCTGTGCCATTGTGCAAATCGGCATCAAAGTTTAATAACAAGGAAACTTGTATTGAAAAAGAAAAAACAAATTGTATAGTAATTAGGTTGTTGAAATAAAACGACGCATGCTTATCAGAATGAGAAACAAGCCCTGTATTTTATATTTTCAATCTTAATCGCGTGCTATTTTCATGCAAAAAATATGTACGTATCAACAATATATTATAAAATAACATATAGAAAAAAAAATATCAATTGTAATCATTACTTTTTTATCTCGTATGAGATAAACGATATGAAATGAAACGATAGGTAGACAAATTGTTATTTCAGGAAATGATAAAAAATATATTGTTAACACTTCATCATCAATTGTTAGTATCACAAATAATTATTTTCAAATCTGACAGTTTGCATTTATTGAAACATTGATGTAAAAAAATTAAAATAATAATAATAATAATAATAATAATAATAATAATAATAATATATATATATATATATATATATATATATATATATATATATATATATATACTTATATATTATATATATATACTTATATATTATATATATATACTTATATATTATATATATTATATAAGACATTTTTTTGAAAATGTAATTAATTTTGAGATATTTATATTAGAAGTTTTTAAATGAATATATCATATACAGTAGTATTAGCTATGTACCATCAAGCGAATTCAAACAACTCCAAGTAATATATTTCAAAAAAAGTATGTTACATATTATTTATCTATTTATATTTATATTATCTATCATATTTATATAATATTATTTATCTTTTCATTAATATTTATTTATTTATTCATTCATATTTATAATATAATTCGATATAATTTTTTATTGATAAAAAAATATTTATTAAATTCGATACATTTTCTTCGAGATATATTGGATTTGTTCGTGCTTGATTGGCAGCATATAGCTAATGCTGATTGGGACTCAACAGAGTTTGAAGAGTTTTTTAAGAAAATAAGGATTGAAAATATATTTTTTAAAAAGATGATTATAATATATAAATTCTATTTATATTTCTATATTTTAATAGAGTTAATTAATTTTTTAATGACTTAATATTAGATATATTGAAATTTGCTTTTTTACACTTTATCTAAAATTTGTTTTTTTAAATTATTTCGTTGCTAACCTGTTAACCGGGGAATTCCCTTTTTAATTACGTAGAATATAACCGGTACAGCTCTTTCACTAGGACGTGTCTGTACGTTACGCCCGGAGAACGTAATGACATATTATTATTATTTTTTATTTATGCCTAAAATAAATGAAAAGACTATGAAACATATCCGTTTTCGTTTATTTATATATATAGCTCGAAGAAAAATACAAAATTACGAACAATTAGAAAAGGATACCAACAATAATATGGAAATATCAAATTAAGAAATTATAAATTTTACAAAGTTTATAAACGATTATAGAGAGTACAAAATATATATATTTTATTTAGATAATAATAAAATATAAAAAAGTTAATAATTACAGAACAATATAACAAAATAAAATAGAAATAATGAGTTTAAAAAATTAAAGTACATATATGTGAAAATTCAAAACGCAATTTCCGTATGATATATTTTAAAACAATTATTGATACACAATGCTATCTTACAGTCTGGACACCAATATGTATCATTCTTTCCTAACACTTTCCTAACACTTTTTTGTAACAAACGCGGCATTTTCTTGATTTGGTTTTTCCTTTATCGTTTTTCATTTGTTCTGGAAAATGTCTTTCAACTAAGCGTAATGGTTTAGGTGCAGAGCTGTTTGTTGATGCTTTGTGTGGGTTTTCACTATATTGATATCTACTAATTTCTCTATACACTCTATCAAAAAGTGTAATCGATCCAAATGACCTTTATCTTTTTTGTATATAATATATGCATTGAAACAGCACATATATGTAAGTACGTACTTGTCACTGCTCAACCGATTCACATCCACCACTCTCAATAGCGAAATAATACTGATTTTTTCGCGTCTTAAATTCATGTCGAAAGATGTATTGATGACTAATACCTCTATTGTCATCGAAAATATACGTCCCACCGTCCCAGGGCGCAACATATATTTAAAGGACGTATTCATATGTCCTACCTGTACATGCTTTTGTTACGTTTGACGTATTTAGACGTCCCGCTCGGTTAACAGGTTAAATCTCTTATAATTAAAAAATAAATGATATAAGAAAATGAAAAAAATATGAAAAGAAATAAAAATACACAGCATAATGGAATTTTAATTATCTGAACTATAATTATTAGAATAAAATTTTATGTAATTAATGTAATGTAATAAAATAATAAACTGCAATTAATCCATTTACATAAATTTAATTTCTTGTTATTTAAGTGATGAAACATAAATATTGCAAATTATATAAATAATCGTTTTAGTGGCAATCTATTTGAGATAAGCATTATTAAATAGTCTTTATTTCCCGATAAATGAAATTATTATTTGGAATTTCGATTTTATAAACATGGTGATATTTCATGATTTTTATTATTATCATATTAATTTTAAAAAATCTTAATTAAAAGTTTAAATAATAAATAATATATTATTATTATATTAAATTTGTTTTTTTTTCATCATTTGAATTGTTATTTGAAATGATGAACGAACATTGCAAAGGATTTAATATTTTTCTAAATTAATTTAACAATTAAATTAAAGTAACAATCAATCTTGAAGTTTGATTTATTTATTGAAACATTCTGAATTTATCAATGAATCTTTCTTATCTTTTTCATTGTGAAGTTAGACGAAATATTAAATTAATTTTATTAATTTTAATAAATACTAGTAACGAATTTAAGAATTTTTAAATTAATAAAAATTGGAATATTTAAACTATGAGAGATAATAGATTATTAAGCTAGATTCCTTAAAAATGAATTGCACTGAAGAAGAGGTATAATTTTAATTCAAATATTTATTAATAGTTAATCAATTTTTTTTTTAGTTAATGAAGACAAATGTTTTTCAATTACCTATTCTGATTCCATTGATAAAAATTTTGGATGTATATCTAATATTAAAACAAGAATTAAGTCCAGATGAATTTTGTATCTTCTTATTTGTTGAAAAAAAAATCAAAGGATAAGTGCAAGTTTGATTTCAACCCTATCGAACAATATTTTAACAAATTTGAGGAACTTAGGGTTAAATTACATTTTTATATAACAAAATTTTTACTTAATATATATATATATATTAACATTATAATTATATAATTTTCTTTTTATATAGATTATGCCAATTTCATTGCAAAATATCCTTATCGATTTGTTTATGAATATAGTTCGTTATACAATTTTTTTAGAATCAGTAAGTAAAGATTACTTGGATAAACAAAACTGTCGCAATTATGATGATTTGCATCAAACAATGTGTAAGTTAGTAATTTTTTATTAATGTTCTTTTTTTTTTTAATAAATTTTAATAATTTAATATTTCAGTGCTTGTATACATTTTGTCATATAGAATATTCAATATATTTTTTGAAGATTCGATTGATTGTTTTGTTCATTTTAAAGTAAAAAAAATTTTAAATTTAATTGGTTATCTTCTTCGTGCAGAAACTCCGAATTTTTTCTTGGAAAAAGGTTGTTTGACATTTGAGGAACATTTTGTGGAGCAAAATCTTGTGCTCCCGTTATTAGAAGCAACACCATATTTAGAGGTTTTTAGTATAATTCAGTGATTTTAAAACAATTATAATTTTATTTATTATATATTATATATATAATATACATACACACACACACACATCATTATTAAAAAACAAGAATAACATATAAGTAATTTTTTAAAGAAACTTCAGGAGCATTTGAAAAAATATTTACGAAATATGAAAATTCCTAAAAAGGAATCAACAACTCCCATGTTTATGAATGTCTTAAATCGACCAAGAACTCGTTTGAATGTGCCTCCCAATACACCCGAAGTGAGTAATTTATAAAGTTGAAAATATATAAGTATATTTAATTTAATTTTTTTTCTATTGTCATAGTACACATATATACATATTGTAATTGAATTTTGATCATTATCGATTAGTTTTTTTTTACCATTTTTAATAATCTTAAAATTTTTGTAAAGAAAATTATTTTCATCAATTTTTTCCATAATAAATAATCGATGATTGGCTTTAATTTTCGAATTATAATTTATAAAAACATTCAACTATATATTGAATTCTATATGTTTACATGACAGTATATATGTCAAATCTGATTTCTATTTATTAATTATTTGTATATAAATAAATGGCAATCAACAATAAATATGTATAACGGATGAATTTTTCGAAAATTCTTTTTTTTTCCAATTTAAACGAAATCTTTCTCAAAATTTTCTTTATGTTTTAAGCTGTTATCCTCATTAAATTTATTAGAATCATAAGATAAATTCTTGTTGAGAATTCATTCTAAAAGTCAAAATAAAAATTGATATACAAAAATGTTAATTAACTTATTTATTAAGTTATAACGCAATTTGCTTATTAAGAATATTTAGTAAATGAGATATTTTGTTTCACATCATATTGTAAAAAATAAAAATGGACTTAGAAAATGAAATTCTACTAATTTTTAAATATATGCAGTAATATGAAATAACACAAACTATCTCAAAAATGTAGGAATCTCTTAATCCAAAATTTCTAACTTGAAGTAACATTTTCTCAAAAACTTTTATTACAGCTTTGTTATTAAAAAACTACTGATCAATCATGAAGCGTAATCTACTAGAGCCGCAATGATAATGTTATCTGTATCGCCGAATGAATCCAAACAAATCCAAACAACATATATCGAAAAAAACGTATTGAATATTATTCATATATTGAATTTATTCATTGTTTGTGTTATAATTCGACATAATTTTTTGGTGATAAAAAAATATTTATTATATTTGACTTTTTTCTTTGTATACGAAAATTCTTTATTTATGTTGTTTGTTATATAAGTTTGTTTATGTTCGGTTGACGGCACATAGCGAACTATTATGGAGACTTGATTAGGCTACGTGCTTCGTTAATTTTTTGTAAACAATTCGTTAACGAAATTGAAATGAAAATTTTTACAAAGG